AAATTTTCTCATAGGAAGTCTAGGTACCTTGGCAGTTTCTGGGGAACTTACGAATCTAACAAGAAATTACATCAACTTACGAATCTAACAAGAAATTACATCAACTTTTTCTGCAAAATCAGGAGGAAATAATTTCCTCAACTGTAGGGCTTATTCAACTTACTGAGATGTTATGATTGAATTGCATCCCTCAAAACAAATTTGTTGAAGTCCTAATCCCCAGTACCTTATTTTTCCAAATAAGGCCATTGTAGATGTAACTAATTAAAATGAGGACACGCTGGACTGGGGCAGGGACTAATCCAACATGACTGCTGTTCTTATGAGAAGATGGCCCTGTGAATGCCATGTGAAGATGGAAGTGGAGATTGGAATGATGCATCTACAAGCCCAGGAAGGCCAAGTGTTGCCAGCAGTCAGTAGAAACTAGGAGAGAGGCATGGGCCAGAGTCCCCTCAGAGCCCTTTGAAGGAACCAGCCCGGATAACACCTTGATTTTGGGCTTCCAGCCTCCTGAACTGGAGAGAATAAATGTCTGTTGTTTTAAGCCACCCAGTTTGTGGTCATTTGTTACAGCAGCCCTAAGAAACTAATACATGAGGCCATAAGAAGTCCTGGTGATGCTTTCAAAGACAGTCTGATTTGCTAGCAAGACACAGTTTATCACTTACTAACTGCACCACCTTAGGCAGTTTCTTATCCTCTCTGAACCTCACCTTCCTCATTTGTAAAACAGAGTTAATGGTACCTACTGCACAGGGCTGCTTGGAGGATGAATGAGAAACTGGATGCAAAGAACCCAGCACAAGATAAGAGTTCAATCAATGTGGTTTTCCCCAGTAAAGCATCCCCCCTCTTCTTGAGAAATAATTATGAATGACCTATAGGGGAATCACCCTCCTTCCTGAAAGCATTTATTCAGAAATATGCTTTGACTAGAGCCGGAAATACAAAGGAAAGAGATAACTATTGCCTGATTTACTGTAAACCAGAACTGATGCCTCCAAAATGAAAGTCACTGTCTTCCCCCAGAAACTGGCTCCTTCTCGCTTCCCTGTTTTTGTCAAACAGATGCAGGTGTCTCTGGCTCCTCCTACTCCTTCCACCATTATGTCTAGCCTGTCATCTAGTTTCTGTGTTAAAACTTTTGACTGTGATCCAGGATACACATATGAAACAAAAGTTTCATTAAAAAAAAAAAAAGGCCAGGCGTGGTGGCTCACCTCTTGTAATACCAGCACTTTGGGAGGGCAAGGCGGGCAGATTGATTGAGCCCAGGACCAGACTGGGAAACATAGCAAGACCCCATCTTTACCAGAAATTACAAAAAAGTTAGCTGGGCATGGTGGTATGCGCCTGTAGTTCCAGCTACTTGGGAGGCTGAGGTGGGAGAATTCCTTGAGCCCAGGAGGTGGAGATCCTAGTGAGCAGAGATTCCACCAGTGCACTCCAGCCTGGGTGGCAGAGCGAGACCCTGACTCAATGAAAAACAAAAACAACGTTTGTATTTTTGCATGTGATACACCCTGATATTTTCTATTTCCTTCTTTATTTTTTTTTAATTTGGGAGTGCAAAAGGTTTATTGAAAAAAAAAACAAACACAAATCTGTTTTGAAGCCTGTAGGACATTAGGGAGAGATGTCCAATAGATAGAGATGCATGTCTGAAGCTAAGGATGAGCACTGAGCTGGGGTCTAGGTTTGGAGGCCGTCAGCCTGTAGAGATGGTACTTTACTCATGAGAACAGATGCGATGAGCCAGGGAGAGGGGGTAGGTGTGAGAAAAGCACAGTGAAATGAGAGAACTCCTTGGGAGCACCAGCATTAGATGTGGTTAGAGGATTCAGACTCCTAAGAAGATTGAGAAACAATGTTCAGATTTAAAAGGAAACAGGAGGCCGGGCCCTGTGGCACACACCTGTAATCCCAGCACTTTGGGAGGCCAAGGCAGGCAGATCACCTGAGGTCAGAAGTTTGAGACCAGCCTGGCCAACATGGTGAAACCCCATCTCTACTAAAAATACAAAAATTAGCCGGACATGGCGGTGGGCGCCTGTAATCGCAGCTACTTGAGAGGCTGAGGCAGGAGAATGGCCTGAACCCAGAGCCAGAGGTTGCAGTGAGCCGAGATTGCACCACTGCATTCCAGCCTGGGTGATAAGAGCGAGACTCTGTCTCAAAGAAAACCAAAAAACACCAACACATTGCAATACCACTACACACCCATGAGAATAGCTACTGGAAATCTCATACATTCCTGATGGAAGTGTGGGTTAGTTGAATCACTTTGAAAAACTGTTTGGCAATATCTACTAAAGCTGAAGATTTGTATATCCTATGGCCCTGCAGTCCAACCCCTGGGTGTATATCCAACAAAATGCAAACAGATGTGCACTAAAGGACATGCAACTGGTGGAGGTATATGTATAAAATTGCCAGTATTTGCCAGTTGTCTGTTTGCAAAAAAGGCAATTTCACATGGTTAAACCTGATTACAAGAATGTTCATAGCAGCACTATTTGTATTAGCCAAAACCTGGAGTATCTCAATGGCAGATTATTGTGTATATATTGAATAAATGTTTCACCCAGTAACATGGGTAGATCTCACAAACATAGTGTTGAGTGAAAGAAGCCACACAGCTATATATAAAGTACAAAAACAAGCCAGGTGCAGTGGCCCACGCCTGTAATCCTAGCACTTTGAGAGGCCAAGGCAGGCAGGTTGCCTGAGCTCAGGAGTTCAAGATCAGCCTGGGCAACATGGTGAAACCTGGACTCTACTAAAAATACAAAAAAATTAGCCAGGTATGGTGGTAGTCCCAGCTACTCGGGAGGCTGAGGCAGAAGAATTGCTTGAACCCAGGAGGTGGGGGTTGCAGTGAGCCGAGATTGAGATTGTGCCACTGCACTCCAGCCTGGGCGACAAAGTGAGACTCCGTCTCCAGGGGAAAAAAAAAACAGACTAAACGAATCTATCATGATAAACATGAGATTACCTTTGGGAATAGTCACTGAAGAGAGAATGGGAATGTTTTGGGATACTGGTTATCCTCTTTTTTTAAAAGCTCTGTATGCTAGTTAAACACGTGTGTGCACTTTGTAAAATTCATTAAGCTGCATGCTTGTGATTTGTGCACTTTTCTGTATTTGTTATACTTCAGTAAAAGATTACTTAAAAGTTGCCGGGCGCGGTGGCTCACGCCTGTAATCCCAGCACTTTGGGAGGCCGAG